CAATGTTTATAAACAGTGTTTCTTGTTATCTCTCTATCTCCCTCTGATCAATGTTTATAAACAATGTTACTTTGTATCTCTCTATCTCCCTCTATGAACAATGTTTATAAACAATGTTACTTTGTATCTCTCTATCTCCCTCTGATCAATGTTTATAAACAATGTTACTTTGTATCTCTATATCTCCCTCTGAGCAATGTTTATAAACAATGTTACTTTGTATCTCTATCTCCCTCTGATCAATGTTTATAAACAATGTTACTTTGTATCTCTCTATCTCCCCTCTGAACAATGTTTATAAACAATGTTACTTTGTATCTCTATCTCCCCTCTGATCAATGTTTATAAACAATGTTACTTTGTATCTCTCTATCTCCCTCTATGAACAATGTTCATAATCTGTGTGTCATATGTTCTGCTTTTGACAGCAATAGCTCTGTATAATCAATAAACGGTCCGGGTGCCTATTTCCTTTACACGTGTCTGCCTGTTACACGTTGTGCTCTTTCTTTCAGGGAAAGCAGATGTGAGCAGCGTCAGCCCCAGCACCCTGTACTCCAGTCGGACAGCCACCCCCACGCGGTATTTTGCAAGGTTAGTATATCTGTGTGTACTTCGTTCTTGGGTGCCGCATTCTTCCTCTTCTTTGTAACACCTGTGGTGATGTACTGCAGAATATTTTGTGTGTGTTAAATAAAAATCTGTAACCCGGCATCCCAAAAACTGGGACCTTCCTGCATCCCTACAGATGTGACCTCCCTGTGTGCTTTCAGCCATGACTTCACTGCATCTCCACAACTATGCCATCCCTACTGCCATGATCTCCCTGCATCCCTACAGCCATGATCTCCCTGCATCCCTACAGCCATGATCTCCCTGCATCGTTTCAGCCATGGCTTCCCTTCATCTACACAACCATGACCTGCCTGTATCCATACAGCCATGACCTCCCTTGATCCCTACAGCCGTGTCCTCCCTGCATCCCTTCAGCCATGACCCCCCACAATCATGACCTCCCTGCATCCCTACAGCCGTGACATCCCTACAGCCGCGTCCTCCCTGAATCCCTACAGCCGCGTCCTCCCTGAATCCCTACAGCTATGACTTCCCTGCATCTCCACAACCATGGCCTTCCTGTATCCCCTCAGCCATGACCTCCATGCATCCCTGCAGCCGTGACCTACCTGCATCCCTACGCCCTGCTTCTCAAGTCTATAAAATACACCTCTAGCAAGGTCTATTATTGCCCCTGGAAAGCATACTTTGCATGGTGAAAGGACTTTCCATCCCAGGAAGTACTCTGGCACATCCCGACCTTTCTCCAATCCAGACAGGATCAACATTTGGCCTCGAGTGCTATCAAATCTTGGCTCTAGCATTTCTCTTTCAAAGACCACATGTCTGTCATTCCTTGGGCTTATGCTTAGCTTGTTGGTCACATAGTTCCTCCTGTATGTCCACCTATGACTGTGGGATCTCAACCTGGTTCTGATGGCTCTTCAAAAACTGCCCTGTGACCCTAGCAGAGATATTTCTCTCTCCATACTCACCAACATGCTCGCCTTCCTTATCGCCATCGCCTCTGTAAGACAAGTTCCTGTGCTGGTCGTCCTCTCTTTTATCAAACCATTTCTGATTTTACACAGAGACAAGGTTGTCTTGAGGCCTGAGTCCTCTTTCTTTCCCCCCCAAGGTGGCTTCTTCCTTTCACCTTAGCTTGGACATTATACTTCCATCTCTCAGTCCTGCCCCAGTACATTCCATGGAGTTTTCTCTGCTTTGTTTGGATGTGGCATGAGGTGTTCTAGTTTTCCCGCCCAAACATGTCTTCCTTCAGACTGACCGACTCTCTCTTCGTCATTGCGCAGGGTCCCTGCAAGGAACAGCCTGCCTCTCGTTTCACATATTCTAGTGGAATTAGGTAGCTAATCATTCAGACCCCTCGACTTAAGGGTAAGGTTCCACCTTGTCAAGGCGCATTCTACTAGATCAGTAAACACGTCTTGGGCTTTTCAGCATCATGCGTCTGTTGCCCAGATTTCTAAGGCTGCCACCCGGGCTTCTGGTCACACAGGTGGATGTTCAGGCCAAATCTGATGCCAAAGATCCCGTATGTAGCTTTTGTAGCTGCATTTAGCCCCCAGTTTACCTTTTTGTTCTTGGGGGGGCTCGTTAGCATTTTGTTTGAGGTGTTGCCTCAGTTGGACTGTTTTTATACGTCACGTGCGCCGGAGAATCTTTCCGATCCTGTGTCCCTTAATGAATGATTAGGAAAATAGATCAAAATTAATTTTATTACACCCCACCCCCCCACCCTCT